AACTTGATTTTTTGCAATTTTGCGTCGTGTGCTGTTGTCAAAATTTTACCTCCTGTAAAGCTAGCTTTTCATGTGTACGCACCCTTTCGTATTATGGCCAAAATTTTATTCTCGAACCAAAGAAATCTTCTTTCTTTTTTACAAATGTGAAGCTCACATAGCCCACTTCATCATGCTTATACCAATTTTAGTACAGTTTTATTTTTATATTTTTTTTACATATCATTATACAGGGGTTAGCCATTTAACAAAAATATCACCCATGGCCACAACCCTCTACTGTACTCTGCTACCAAAAGAACTTAAAAGTAACCTTTTATCCATGCATGTAATAACTGACCAAAAATCATTACCCTGTGCCTCTGTGATATTCAGAAGTTGATAAATGTTTTTTTAGGACTAGTATGCTACTGGCTAAATATCATGACCCTAGAATCCAGAGATCTGTATATATATATATATGTGATATATATAATGTTATAGGGTTTGGATTACAATAGTTTCTATGTAATGGACCTAAGAATCCCTCGGGATTTGGTCAGAACATATGATATGACTAACTCTGGTAGCATGCTTGTGTTTGAGAATATGCATATATATGTAAATAGAACTTAATGAGATAGGGATCTCAACTATTTTCAAGTTATGACACAAGAACCAAGTATCAGGGCTCTTAAACTTGCTGGTTGTTGGTTTTGACATACCGGTAATGACCCATTTGACCTTGAAAGTATGTCAATGCCATTTATCTGTGAAAAATGTATTAATAGAACTCTTTCCCAGGTACCTATATATAGCTATTGAACATCTAATTTGGGTCGGATGGAAATTAGTTTTTTACACACATAACCTATGTCAGCATTTGACCCTGGCCAGCTGTCAAGGTTCACCTTTGATCTAAACATGTTGGTCTTAAAATAATATCAGGACCAGGCTTTGCTGAACATTAGAGGATTCTTAAACCTTTTTACCCATTCTATCCAACATGTATCTTAACTGTTGATCTCATGCCAACCCTAAAACATTTTTTATCTAACACAGTATACATATATTTAATTACATTTAACATATTTGACCCCTGTAACTTGAAAATGGATGAAGGTCATTCATTTGAACAAACTTTGTAGCCATTCATCTCAGCATGCTACTGGCAAAATATCATCATTCTGGGTATTTTGGTTATTCAAAAGAAAGTAATCAAAAGTTTTTTAAGACAATTGACCCCTGCGACCTTGATCATATAAATGAAGGTCATTCATTTGAACAAACTTGGTAGCCCTTCACCCAAGCATGCTTCTGCCCAAATTTCATCTCCCTGGGCATTTTGGTTATTCAGAAGAAGTTGTTTAAACTTATTTGACCCCTGTGACCTTGAAAATGGGTGAAGATCATTTATTTTAACAAACTTTGTAGCCAGGTGAGCTAAATATTAAATCGGGGTTGATGTCATTTATAAGAAGAAATTTTGTAAAGTACTCTGTCCCAAGTACACATACTTTGTGGTAAAATTTCAGGACCCAAGGCTTTATTGAACTCCAGAAGAAGATTCTTAAAGTATTTTACCTACCAGTATATAAACCTGACTTGGTAATCAGCTTACAAAGTTTATGCTTGATAGTGATGGGCAATCAGTTTCAAATCATAATCGATAATCAGTTTGTAATCAGAGTTAGTAAATCGATCAATGATCGATTGCATAATCGGTTTATAATTTTATGGACCTGAATACCAGAATAAAGTAAGAACACTACCATTACGCCAATAGACAAGAGTTGTTCACTATACACTACTATAACACCAATAGACAGAGTTGTACACTATACATTAGGTTTTGTTCTTTTATAATAAATGTATATCAAGCAACTTTTATGCATTTTTATCAATCATGTAGTAAAAATCATAAGAATATGACTTTCAAAGCATAGTTTACATATATGACATTTATACACTTTGATTTCAATGATGAAGCGATTATATCGATTATGGACAAACTGATTGATTTTCGATTATAATTGATCATCAGCCCATATACACTAATGTTTGATACATCTTATGCATGGTTCTTTAGAAACTGTTGCTTGCAGTGTATAACAAATTTAATTCCTGTTACTTTGAAAATTAAGGCACATAAAATAAATTTGATTTAAATTTGACCTCAATTTTAATGTGACCTTGACCTTAGGTGTACAGACCAAAAATGGTTCCATTATGCATATATATTCGGCAAGTCTAAAAAGTTAAGGCACAGAAAATGAATTTGACCTTTGACCTCAATGTGACCTTCAAATTCACTGTATGGACTCTGGAATTTGGAAACAAGATGAACAGCAGGACGGATGAACAGAAAGTGTTGACTTAATGCTCCTAATATTGTTTTGGGGGGGGGGGGGGAATTCTTTTGTGACATTTTAAAAAATCCAAAAATTACGATTGCGGGAATATGTATGTTTTATAAAATGGAAAACAATACAATTAAAGAACAGTGATCATCAAGTGACTAAAATTTATTTCATCTTACAAACGCCTGCACCAAGTCTCTACTATAAATGTTCATTATATTAATGACAATTTAACATCTTGACCAGAATTAAATAAACCTGCCAATGGAGTTGTGTCATTTTGAATTCCAATAATTAGCTTACCATTTAATGTTATGATTATCCCCATTTATCACTCCCTACTTTGTAATTGTTTATGGTCAATGTTAACAGGAAGGGCTTGAATTTTATGTACGTAAAAACGAGCAATTGCTTTGTAAAAAGTCAAAATTGAAATATAAATGACCATTGTGCAGCTATATATAATATATCATGCATGTGAATAAATTTAAATTGGCATTTTTATCACAGATGGAAAAGTTAATTTCCAGTATAAGCCCTCCTTCTCCGAGATGTATATTTAAATTAATGTCTCTGCCCCATCCAACTTTGTTGTAGGGGTTATAAAATTAAGTAGATGGATATATAATTAATGAATTGATTCTTTAACATCTAACATTATCTTTGAAATAGTGACAATACAAAGGGATACAACAATGATGGGATAAATATTATGTACTGTTACAAAAACTACAAAATTGTATTATATGTTTCAATATTTCAATATTTAATTCCTTCGCAATCATGATGGGTTAACGCTATATAATCAGGAATTATATATATAAATTATTTTATGAAACTTGTTTTCTTTTTTCACACTGGTGCATAATCTGAACATTAATTTAAAACATGTTTATTTTTGAAATATCCAATTGGGTATAACACACACAAGTCAAAAACATATTATACAAGTATAAAAGTACAGTCAATATGATAATCCTGTCGGAAAGAAAATATTTAAAGGTAGGAGCGGAGCTATCAGCAATCACATTTATAATGTAAGTGCATGCGTACGGAAATCGGAGATGTTAGTAGTAAACAATCCAAAGATCGGTCGATCAAAACCTATCTTCAACATTACATAACTCATGACATCAACTCGTAAACCTTAACTGTATTGCCTGAACTCATTTCTATATCACTAACAGGTTTATTTTCAAACTGTTCGCTTTTTTTCTATCATAAATTAATCATGCACTGCAGACGAACACCATGCACATGGCTGGGCTACATTTTAGATTATTCCGCTAGTTGATTCGCAGACATTTAAATAATAGATAAATTAATGATTCAACAACAACATTCGAAGAAAAGTACTTACATTTCTGATGTGAAAACTTTCGTTTGTCTGTGGTCGTTGTTAACTTATGCGAAACACTGTTGAGTTGGGACTTTTCTTGCAGAAACGTTGTTTTCTGCAATGTGCACCGGCGCGTCTAATTACCCAATACTACCCAATACCACCCAATACTACCCAATACCACCCAATACTACCCAATAC